CACACACACACACACACACACACACACACACACACACACACACACAAGAAAGATACAACTCTTCTCTCCACCATCACCTCACCTCCAGAATTTTCAGCAAAAACAAAGTCATAGAGCCAGCAGAGATTGAAGCACTCTTTAATCAAACAGAATGACAGCAGGTCCTTGATATGTGGGCCAATGTGTATTTACATGATTCATGATACTGACTCCCAGATAGTTTCGTGATGTCATCAGGGCCACCTGGAGACTTGAGTGCTGCCTGAGGTGTCCCCCAGTCAGCATCTCTTACACTGGTCCCCTAGAGCCATTCTGCATGTCTGAGGGAGAATTAATACAGTGGGTTCACAACCTTCCCCAGGAAAAGCAAGCTTCCTGTTTCTGTGTGGAAAGTCATCACCAGGAAGGGCTGATACACTTGAGTGCTTTCAGACGCTGAGGGGCTTGAGGCTGGGTGAGGCAAGGGGCTGAGCTGGATGTTGGTGACAGCAGCAGCCTCTAACCCCTCTTCATCCAGTTCCAGTACTGCCTTGTGGGTGACCTGCAAGGAAACATTGGAGTCATCAACCCACCTCACAAGAGCAACCGACAGAGCTGTATTCATGTACCATTTGTTTTCTATTCACTTTATTCTCCCTAGTTACCCCTCCATTTTCTCACTCAGTCATCCTTTAAAAAATAGATTTTCCCCTCCATTTATTCTAAAATACATCTAGCTATCTACTCACCTACCAATCTCTCCTCCCCACTCATCCATCAGTCCAACCAATCAACATCCACCTACACATTCTGTCAACCATCTACCTATCCATTTGTCCATGCAGCCATGCATGCATGCATGCATGCATGCATCCATCCATCTATCCATCCATCCATCCATCCATCCATCCATCCATCCATCCATGCACCCATCCATCCATCATCCATCCATCTATGCATCCATCCATCTATGCATCCATCCATCCATCCATCCATCCATCCATCCATCCATCCATCTATCCATCCATGCATCCATCCATGCATCCAT